AGAACAAAAACAGGAAACGCCTATGGTTTGTTTACAAATAAGCCTATCACGAGAAGCTGAATGAAGAACAAAAAATTGTGAAGAAAAAGGTATTTTCAATGTGACATACATTCCTCAAAACAAAACAACATGTACGAACAATACAGAAAAAAAAACATGCAAATCCCAGAGAATTTCAATTAGTCCATATTGCTGTTACCAATATCATACGAATTTTCTTGCTGTTCAGTTGAACATAGTGTAGCAAATGTTAAAGATGTTGGGGATAATATTTTGACGATGGATAATGTCGGATAATGTTGTTTCAACACCTTTTGTTTTTGTATCTGATTTGCAAAGATGATGAAGTAGCACCTCATTCACTAAATTATTTAACTATTTGTTTTTTCTTTTTAATACTTTTTCATTCTACTGAATCAGTTGCAAATGTACCAGTAGTTGTGGGTGTGGGTGGGTGACGGTGGATGTGAGTGTTGGTGTGGATGTAAGTTATTTAGAGAAGAGGAAGACACAGGCATACCCACACCCTTCAGACTTGATAAGTGGGAGTGAAGAATTTCGTTTTAAGGATCTTTACAATGTGGTTAGCAGAACAGCTAAATAATCTAAAAGTGATCTAGCACTTGCCATAGAATTGAGAACATCATTCATTTACAAAAAGAAAATACTTCGATAGTTTTCTTAAGAAAAACATCTCTAGATATCGTACACGAAGATTGCGTATCTGAACAGAATATCATCAATCAAACATAGTCTTCTTAGACACATTTTGTGAAACTTACGTATGTTTTCGAAGAAAAGCTTCTCAGCGCAGTTCCTTTGGAGCTGAAATGTGGAACTCACGTATATTCTTCCAATTTTTTATTCTAATGCATTATTTGTAAAGTGAAAAATAGTTTTTTTTTTCAATTAATTATAAATGCATTAGAATACTGTATAGAATCTAAAGCTTTCTATGCGCGGTTGCTGAGGTCTGTAATGGAGGGTGTCTGTAATGGGGGAGGTGTCTGTAATGAGGGAGTGTCTGTAATGTGGGATATGTCAGTAATGTTCTCTTTCCCGTTGCTATATGTCTGTAATGGGGTGGGGAGAAGGAAGGGAAAGCCGCCAAACCTCGAACTGAAACTTTCACTTACTATTTTCTTCTAAAACATATGTGAGTTCCACAAAATAGTGAGTGTAAGTTTTCACTTCAAGGTTTGGCGGCTCTCCCTCCTCCTCCCCATTACAGGCCTCAGCAGCCGTGCACAAAAGGCTTCAGATTCTATACAGTATTCTAATGCATTCATAATTGATTGAAAGAAAACTATTTTTCAGTTTACAAATAATGTATTAGAATAACAGATTGGAAGGATATACGCGAGTTCCTTATTTCAGCTTCAAAGGAGCTGCGCTGACAAGCTTTTTCGTATCATATTATAGTGGTGTTCTCGAATACATTAATATCGCAACTTTATGCGAAATTTGCGAGCAATCTTGATCTTTCCCAAGGCTTTTTTCGAAAAGTTCAGTTTAAAAAGTATTTCTTCCATTTTCTGGAATGAATAAAACTGTTGTAATTATCAAATTTGATAGGAAATGCTCTATGCATCTTGTTGAAAAATGTCTCCAATAATCAACTTTTCCAAAAGTGTCTTCACTATTGAAAATGTTTAGAGCGCATTTGCACATCGACCTCATGGAAGTTCTGACGTCTTTTTCAAAACGTGACCGGTGAGTTAACTTCACTATACGCAAGAAAAGTCTTGGATTTTTATAGATGAAAATGTAAACGAGTTTGTTGACAGATCTTTGAAGTACTAAAAATCATATCTCTACTCAAGAAAAGAAAAAATTCAACAAATTGATTGTAGCTGGCATATAAGTGATCCAGAGAGGATTTTTCGTTCTTATTTTCAGCATAACTTCTTTTTCCGAAGTCAACGAATGACATAAGTGATGTAACTGACATTGCTGAAGAATTCTTTTTCAAAATACTATTCTATTTTCAGAGGCGTAGCGGCAAGTGTATGGGCACCAATATTCTTCATCCTGTGTATGTTGGCGATTCTTGCTACTGCAGCAATAGTAACCATTCTTTCACTGATACCAGTTTATTTACCAACCAAAGTAATTCCTCGTAAGACCAACGGTAAGCTAATGTCTTCTTTTATTTGCTTGAATGATTTTATAGTTATTCGGAAGATTGAATAGATGCTAAGGCTATAATTTGTTCTTATTAACCGAAAAGAAATAGTTTACTACTCCAGATGTAAGTGTAGAAATTCGAAGGAATCATCAGATGAGATGTGATGAGATTAACTTGAATATTTGGAGTCTCATAGAAACTATGGTTCTCTTTTGATGACTGCTGGTATTTCTGTATAGCTGAATCGAATAAGTTCCAAATAGAGTATAGATGAATAATGAAATAACGAATATGAAGCTAGTATCAATATTCGTATGCATCGTTACTAGTGGTACCAGTTTTCATACAAATATAGTGCTCGATAACATTGGATGTTTTTCACCTACGTTTTGAAAAATAGTGGTTCTGTCCTAGAATTCGAAATACGATATAAAAAAACCTGAAATTCATTTTTCTCCCCAAACTGAATATGCTAGTTCCAAAAAGAATAGATTTGTCAACGACAGACCTATTACTATAGAATTGATATGAGAGCAACTTAAAACACTGCAATACGATTATGTTTGATTGAGCTCGAACAACAGATCCCTGCATGATTATAGCCTCTTAAAACATCAGTCGAGTAATCCACGTACAGGTTTTTGTTACAATCGAAAAGCATTTATTCATATAATGCTACAACTCTAAATATAAACTGTCAAGTTTTAGTTATGGCAACAACGAACAATTAAGCTGCATTTGTACTTGGAACTCAAAACTAGCAAAGAACTTTTTCTCACGATTTGTCCTAATTTCAGTTCCCAAATAGTTCAGTGATATTATTTCTGTTTTTGTAACAGCTAAGAATCATTATCTAATCTGTTTGACATTATTGCTATGTGATTCTAACTTCAATTCGTTTTGTAGACGCAAGGAATGCTCAATTAAACTGCCGTGAGACTATTTTAGTCTTCAAGAATAGTTTGATGACCTCGGAGTAAAAAACCTAGCAGCGATACGAGAAAAATATAAATTCCCAAGTGATGCCATCGAATTAATGCAAGAAATGAAAGTCGAGTTTTAATAAAAAAAAGAATCGTTCATGTCTTTTGAAAGATTGTTATAGGAGATTTGCGATCCTATAATTGTTATGAATACTGTTACATAACAACAATACCAAACTTTCAGCGAGAACTGCTAGCTTCACGCAGATTGTTGAACATGAGATCTTTTTATCGATCTCTCATTAATTTTATACTGATTTTGGCTAAAATGTTGTGAGTAAATAAAATAAGAACTGATGTAATCTGAGCCAAATATTCGTGATAAAACGAGAGTAATATTATGAACTTACCACAAAAAGTAGGCTTTTAGTTTGACTAAATGAATGGAATATCCTATCCTTTTCGTCAATGCTGTAAGTGCTATTCCTCTATCTGAATTGAGTATTAAGATCACCTCAAAGCAGCTGAACTGTTCAATTAATTCTCTATTTTTATTTCTTTTTATATATTGAATCAAATAGCAACAACAACAACAACAACAACAACAACAACCACCAAGACAACTACCATCAGTAAGTGATCGACTCAATAGTTAAATACTACCTACAGCTCTTAGCTGAAACAAAATGTAAATATTTGAAAATTGTCGAACTTTGTATATACAAAGATCTTCGAAATAAGCCAAAGATGCTCTTTAAAGTATGTCGAAAAATTAAGAAACATCATTTAACGAAAGGAAGCTCATGTAATCATGCGCAGTTGAGAGAAAATGAAGCTGTTGCAGCTGTTCGATATTTTTCTGTCATCTTCGATGGTTTTCAGTTTTTTTGATTGAATTGACACCACTCTTTCCCTGAGAGATTATGTAGATTTGGAGCCAATGAAATGGATGAATCTTTAATATGCACATCAACTTTTAATTGAAAAAATTGATAAACAACTTTGAAGAATTTATGTAGTTGTTCTTATTCTTTAATGTAACTGTTGAGTCTGTAGATAAGTTTTCAACTAGTGTCCAAAAACTTAAAGTGATCTTACTCTAGGATAAGTAGGTCTTGGGTAGAATTCTGAGGATTTCATTAGCTCAAATGTGTTCGTAGAATCGACTAGGAAACCGCGCATGAAGTCTCCACAGTCAAAATCGAAAGCTGTTTGTCTTTCGAATACAAAATAGTAGTTGTATTGTCCTAAGACAACAGAAAATAGACGAACAATCTGTAGTATGACAATTGTAACAGGTTTCTATCACCTTACAGAGAAGGAATGGATGGAAAAAGGAAGAAAGGAAAAATGTAGAAGAAAAATGTAGAAAACAAAATATAGAAAAGCAAAAATAGCGAATAAAAAAGCATCGAAGAGAAAATAGCGAAGAGGAAAAATATCGAAAATTAAAATGTCTAAATAAGACATGATATATATAAGTTTGTGATAAGTTCTATTGAGTAGATGAAAAATAACTATGAAATATAATAAAGACTTTGATGAAATGTCACTATTAGGAAACTAGAAGAACAATACTACAATATGTGTTGGAATTAAAATAAAGTAATACGTGCTTCAACTTAAAGTACTTCCGTTAATGTTCCTTCAAAGTCTGACATAATAGTGCATAGATTAAAACTCATATGTAACTGAACAGCTTTATTATGTAATTCATGAAATAAATACTTATATGTAGGTTTTTTTCATCAGGTGCGAAAGCAAAAACACATACAAACGTTGCAAAAGAGAATAGTACTTAAAAAGTTTATTTAAGAGAAACGCATATTCACATTGTTCAAATTTAATTGCATGTATGCAATATACTTGATCGAATATTGGAGGACTGATGAGAAGGTGCCATCGATCAAGATTACTGAACCATCAAATAATAATTTCAATTGTTCATTTTATGTAAACACCAATATTCGCGTTTTTGTTTTTATAATCTGATCAATACAAAGGAAGTGTAAATTTTTCAATGTTTTTGTATAAGGTTCTGCTATATCAAATGATTGAGAATTAGGAATAAATGGTGTTTGAAGACGACGTGCTTTATCTAATGTACTACCTGGGAAATATACGCTTTAAGTGAAAAAAAAACGAAGATTTTTTTCTAACCAAGTTGTCTCTGAGATGGTAAAACAGCAACTGATAATGTTGATGAATCGATGCGGTCTGCTTCTTTGTCATAAATTTGTGGAATGGGTGTACTTTCACTTATAGCACGTACTTTGACAACTTCTTTGAATGTTCGAATTTGATTTTGTTTCTGGTTCAGATGGGTGACAATGATCACTTTTAATGTTCAAAATAATATCTTGAAGATCAGCACGTGCAGTAACAGTACAATGTGAATTTTCATATCGATAGTATTTTGTTGTACTCATTGTCTTAGTCAATTTAAAAAGGAAATTATTTATATTAAATATTTTTTTCTTTTTCTTTTTGAGAAATGACAAAAGATATTTCATTAGAAAGAGTAGCCATCAAATCTAAAATAACTGAAAATCAATTCGTAAATCTTTAACTATTAACAGTCATCAATCGAAATTCCACCGGTATAAGCATTATTAATGAAGTACCAAAGAAAATCAAATTAATCAATGAAGATTAATATTTATCTATTATTTTCGTATATTTACATGAGCACTACTTAAAGAATAAATACTTTTAATGGTATAAACCAACCAAACAAATAGGAAATTTTTAACAAATGTCGTATAGCGGCGTCTTACGACTATTTATTCTTTTCTTTTCGACATTTTTCCTTTCGCTATTTTCTCATTCTATATTTTTCCTTTCTTTCTTTTTCCATCATACCACAGAGAAGTAGCTTCTGAGAAAGTGAAATTTTCCAGATTTATAAACCCACCTATTGAATGATTTATTCCATTTGGATTATCTAATATATGCTGGCATCTAGAAACGTAGATGGTCAACTTTTAAAAATAAATATTGATCATGGTTTTTGGTTAATAAGATGTTCGATCAAATGAGGATAGAGTGACTGCTGCCTCATGTTGAAGAATGTTCGTAAATTCATATTTACAAAGATTGTTGTTCTCCTTCGAATGCGGTTACTATAGAGGTATCCATAACCTATCAATACTGGCTTAATAACTTTCTGGATATTGCTCAATGGAGAGTATTCTTCGTTGTCTTTGAAGTTACAGTAAATTACTGTCTAATAACATGAAAAGTTGAGCGTTCGCAAACTGGAAAATGATAGTTATTATTCGGACTAGATTACAGAATATCTTCTGGATCCAAGAACATGATTGGGGCATTGCTTCGAAAAGTTGACGATTCACGTTTCTAAATGCAGCATTTATTAGGAGCTTTCTACAAAATATATATATCATCATAAAGTCATTGCTCAGTTGCAATTCGTGAATTCTGTGTTCGACTGCAAAGATTTGAATGTTTTCTTAAAACTTTGAGGCTATTGAAGTATTCTAGAAGTGTTTTCATTAACTCTTTTCTCTTTTATGAGAAGTTGAAAATCATATGTTCATATTCCCACGAGACTTCGTTATTCTTACAAATCGTAAAGAAAGAGAATATGAAAAAAATGTAAATGTTCAATAAGAGAAGCACAGTTATCAAGAGAATATGTTTCTACTCATTATCTCTTGAATGAACTTCGTCAAACGCATATTCCATGCAACCTTCGTATGAGATAGTTGTACTAGAGGGAAAATACGTTTAAATTACAACAGCTTTAGCCAAGAGGGATAGATAAATGGAAGAAAGCCCAATAATAAAACAAAGAATATCTCTTTTAGTTTGCCTACTTGGAAGTTGAAGCCTGAGTAACTATAAACTAGGAACAACAAAGTTCAGACTGCACATTTACTATTAAGATATGAAATGCATACAACAGGACGCAGCATCGTTCATTTGAGCTGATAGATCAAAATACTCAAAATGTTTATTGTTAAATTTAAAACCTACCCAAAAGCACATCGTGAAATGGCATGGTTTTTTATATAAAAATTGAAAAGCTGCCTGAAATCGGCTTGTCAACAGATTATGAAAACATTATGCTCACATTAAATTTCAAATTCAAGTACGAACCATCATTTCCATTTAGGCACTACAACGACAACAGTTTCACCTGAAACAATGTCGTGTATTATGTTTATTTTTGTTCATTGATTAATGTCCCATAACAGCTTCAAATTATTTGGGAATATTTGAATAGAATCTTTGTTCGCCTGTGCATATAGTATATCATCATTACATGAAACAATAGCTGTGACGTTTGCGTTACATCCGTTCATGTAGTTGAATCGATGTTTGATTGAAAATATCCAAATATCTTCAGGTCATCCATCAAAAGATTTTCCGTTCAAATTTTACGGTATATCAGTAGATACCTAAATGGATTATTACTTCATATCGTTCATATTCCACATTTTTGTTCGGCCCATTCTCAGCCGTACCATATTGCTTTGATGTAGCCAATATATGAACAGAGTGATTGTAGTAACTATTTAATTGTAACCTTTTCAGGGAACGTGCCTTTTCTCCAAATGAGTTATTTCAGTCAAGCAAGATATTCGAACAGAATTGTAGGGTTCATCTTGATTCATTTGACAGTACTTCTTTCCTGATGTGATCGAGTGACATACTTTGTTACGATTTAAGCCATATAATTGAATAAAACGCTATTGAGAACGATTCATTTATGAAGATATCTATGCTGACATGACCAAGTGGCAGACTTTGTTTCGAAGTGAGTGATATACTTGAATGGAACCGTGTTTAGAATGATTTATTTGTCAACAGATTTATGCTCATATGCTCAACGAACTCAATTCAGTTCGAAGTAAGCGCTATACTTGAATGGAACCCTAATTAGAATGATTTATTTTGTCCAAAAATCTTTCTAACGCGACCAAGTGATACACTTTGTTTTGAAGTGAATAATATACTTGAATGGAACCCTGCTTAGAATGATTCATTTTGTCGAAAAATCTTTCTAACGCGACCAAGTGATACAGGTTGTTTTGAAGTGAACAATATACTTGAATGGAACCCTCCTTAGAATGATTCATTTTGTCGAAAAATCTTTCTAACGCGACCAAGTGATACACGTTGTTTTGAAGTGAACAATATACTTGGATGAAACCCTCCTTAGAATGATTCCTTTGTCAACAGATTTATGCTCATATGATCAACGAACTCAATTCACTTTGCAGTAGCGCTATACTTGAATGGAACCCTAATTAGAATGATTTATTTTGTCCAAAAATCTTTCTAACGCGACCAAGTGATACACGTTATTTTGAAGTGAACAATATACTTGAATGGAACCCTGTTTAGAATGATTCATTTTGTCCAAAAATCTTTCTAAAGCGACCAAGTGATACACGTTGTTTTGAAGTGAACAATATACTTGAATGGAACCCTCCTTAGAATGATTCCTTTGTCAACAGATTTATGTTCATATGATCAACGAACTCAATTCACTTCTCAGTAAGCGCTATACTTGAATGAAACCCTGTTTAGAATGATTCATTTTGTCCAAAAATCTTTCTAACGCGACCAAGTGATACACTTCGTTTCGAAGTGAATAATATACTTGAATGAAACCTTGTTTAGAATGATTCATTTTGTCGAAAAATCTTTCTAATACAACCAAGTGATACAGTTCGTTTCGAAGTGAATAATATACTTGACTAGAACCCTGTTTAGAATGATTCATTTTGTCGAAAAATCTTTTGGACATGACAAAGTGATACACTTTGTTTCGAAGTGAGTGATATACCTGAATGGAACTCTACTAAGAACAATTCATTTTTCAAGAGATCTTTGCTGGCATGACCGAGTGACACACTTCGCTTCGAAGTGAGCGACATACTTGAATATAATCCTGCTTAGAAGCATTCATTTGTCAAGAGATCTTTGCTGACGTGACCAAGTGACACACTTTGTCTTGAAGTAAGCGGCATACTGGAATACAATCTTTCTTAGAATCATTCATTTACTATTTCAACTTCTGTTATCTAATTTAATGTGAACTTTTTCTAAAATAAAACTCATATTAGTATAAAGTCTTTGTTGGAAGTAAAGAATTAACACATCAATTTTCAAATAGTAGTCTAGTGCCATACTTCATCTCGAAATGAGTGATGCAGTTGAATGAAACTCTAGTTATAGCAATTCATTTGTCAATAGATCTTTGGTGATGTGATCGAATGAACACTTGGCTTCGAGCTGAACAATATAATTGAATGACACCCTGGTTAGAACGATTCATTTATCAATAGACCTTTGCTAATGTGAATGAGTGACGCTCTTTCTTACGAAGTGAGCGATTGATTTGAACAGAATTATTTTCAGACTGATACATTTATCATGTATCCTTTATGAGTGTATATTATGTTCAGTAGTTTAGTTCAAAGCTATTCCTAAATAACGTCCTTATGAATAATAGAGGGCTGCGAAGAGGTAAAGAATGCATGAAATAAAAAGGAAGTGAAGGATAGGCATCTCAAAAACCGAGGTTCATCTTTGATTTCATTCCTATCCAAGGAGGAAACAGCTGATTCTGTGTCATTGGAATCAATGAAATTCCTTAGAATCAGTGGAATCTCTTGGAATCAATAGAATCCCTTAGAATCAATGGAGTCCTTTGGAATCAGTCAGAGAAATCAGTCAATAGAGTCAGTGGAAATCAGACGTAGAAATCGGAAATTACTTATATAATTAAGCAAATAAAACCGATTAGTATTAGATGCCTGGGGCAACAGCTGATTCCAGCCGGCAGGATCACATGAAATCACCTGGAATCGCTTGGAATCATTCAGAATCATTGTGAAATCACTCGGATTAGGTATGCACTAATGCTAATTCAGAATTGGAGATTTCGTACAAGTTTGACTGAGTATATGTATAAGTGATCTATGATTTATTCAATCATCAGGCAGTTTTCTGTCTGTTAATACATTACAATTATCTAATCCTGGAACCCTTAAGATAGCGAAGAAAGAGAAAGAAGAGATGGGAGAGAGGAGGAGAAAATGATCGGTTTTTTGGGTCGTGACTTTTCCACTATCGTAAGAGCGACAGATAGAATTGTCCGTGCCGATTAGAGATTTTGAAGGGTCCTCTTTAATTCGTCCTGAACAACCTAATATTGTCTTCTGACAATAGAGGAGAATAAGATATGGAGGGAAGGTGAAAGAATGGATTTTTGGGTGATCTTTTTTCCCACTAGTATAAGGATAGTACATAATGTTATCTGTATCAATTAGAGGCTTTCAAAGGCCCCCTTTAATTCGCCGCGAACAACCTTATTTTTTGTCATTTCCATACTGAAGAAGGTCACGCCCACCAAACCCGTCGTTCCCTTCCTCCCCCACTCTATATCTAATTCCTC